AAATGATATATTTAATATTTTTAATCCAAACAATCAATGAAGGTAAATCAGGAAAATTAACAAGGCTGCCCAAACTTTCACACTCCACTGTACTTCACCTCGTGCCTTCCAACACCTACAAGTTTGAAGTGAATCCTAGTTGGGCTCACAGATTATATCCAGTCAACTGAAATAATCTGTATTCCCCCTGAGGGAATAGAGTAGTTGGAGTTAATTAGCACAATCTGCSATAAAATATGAACAAACAAGACTTTTTTCATTTCAGTTTAAAGTAAGTTTCTCCTTCGTTACCTGAAACAGAAAATGAAACATCATTTTTAAAATTTTGCTCATTGCTTTTTGACACTAAATGAGAAACACTTTGTATTTTATTTTCATTTCTAAATTTTAAAACAAAATTCAAATAGCCACTCCTCTTGATTTTTAATACCCATTTCTAAAAGACAAATCCAATGACCAAAGACACGTGGACCCCTCATGTCTTTCTGCACTCCCTTGTGTCTTTTAGTTTCACTTTGTCTCTAWATGATCTCTGTCTCCAGGATATAAACCATTAACCTCAGGTTCAAGGGGAATGCCATAAATTAGGGTGTGTTTAATGGTTTCAAAGTTTCAGTTCCTGTTAAAATCATGATATACTGTATAGTAAATACATAGAGATCTTATGTTTATAAACCCATCCACCCATGAATTCAGTGTAATATTTCATGCTCATGAGTTTTTAGTCTAATGTGTGYGTGCAACAAACACAAAACAATAAAAATTCAACAGATCTGAAAGTTGCTCCTCCTAAAGGAGGAGTCTGTAACAGAGTAAAGTCTTATCAGAGGTATAAAACTGATCTAAGATTAGATCTGAACAAACTTCATGTCAGAAAATCAACGGTAACAATGTCGCTTCCAAAGAACTAAAATGTCTAACAAACATGCTCTGCTTGGTAAGTAGGCTACAGTTTTTATTTTAATGTTTATAGATTTGTATCAAATTTATTCTGATAGCCTTTTCACTTCAAAAATGTTGAAAAAATATGTGTTTGTCTTTTACGAGTCATTTTTACTTTTTATTAGTTATAGAGTTATATTTGTTTCTTTGTTTACATACAGTATCTATGGTGCTACAACAAGACCTGTTTTAAATGATTTTATAAACTTATCAAATGTTTCTACAGCCTGAAAACAAAAAATTAAACTTTATGATGCTCATGTTTGACAATAATCTTCTGTTAGGTGGTGGGGGTGTGGGGCTGAATTAAGTAAATTCCATTCTGATTTATTTTAACGTGTTAAACATATTGTATCTACAAAAGCAAAAACGTGATTCAAAAACTACTGACCAGGAGGACGGGCTCAAAGTCCAGTCTTAGATTTGCACTTGTAAAATTTGTTCTGTGCTTGTGGGTTATTTTACAACCTTGTAAAATTTGTGTGTGTGTGTGTGTGTGTGTGTGTGTGTGTGTGTGTGTGTGTGTGTGTGT